TTTTTTCCCCTCTTACCAAAAGAAAATTTATTATTTGAAAGAAGATGGAATAGCTGCCAATTGCCTTTTAATTGTAAGCAGTAGGAGCTCTGTGTCTCGAAGTATCTAATGTCTTTATGTATTGAGGCTGGGTATGTGAAGAACTCTTACTAGTATTTCTCTTATGATTGCATCTGGCGCAAACCTGTTGTGGTTTATATAGTTTGCACCAAATATATCCAGAGTCACAAAGATGCCACAACTCATCTAATGCTTCTACCTTTTAAACCTAAATTCAACATTTATTCATATTTTATGTTTTGATAGCCATTTTTCTTATTCTACATTTTGAGTAATTGCATACACAAAGGCAATTAGTCTTGCAAATGCCCAAATTCCCTTGGAGACTGTTAACAAAAAAAATTTGGTGCAAGGAGACATTTCTTTGTGCTGTATTATTTAGCTTGTGAATACAAGCCCTGTACATCCCTGGTTGATACTGATAGTAATATAATCCAGCAATGGTCACCTCAATATTTGTAGCATGTATATTCAGCTGCCTTTAGCCTGACCAATAGATTTGTCTTTTTTACAAGGAAGACATTTGCTTTTGCTGACTTAACAAAGCTCTTTGTTCTCCTTGGAATTTATTCCCTTACAGTTTAAATTCTCTGTGTGCTGAAAAACAGAAAATGAAGAAATGTCAATTCTTCCTTGAATCAAGGGTCAAATAATGCCAGAATGAAAAAGCGATTGTCTTTTCCTAATGTAAAGTTTATTTCATGTTTGGGAATATAAATTTGTTCACATACAGTAGGGATGAAATTTAATGTGTATCTTTATTTTTACAACACCTTTCACTTGAGTAGGAACTTCATGTTTATTTCTCATATCTGAGTTGGGTTTGTTACAGATTAACTCTGCTCATTATCTACCTTTTGCCTTCAGCCTGAGCAGAATAAGAATACTGATAATTGCATTGAAATTGCATCACACTAAAAGTAGTGTTTTGCATTTGTGTTCTAAAGCACCTTTTGTTTGAACTATTTTATTCATTTCTTTAATATATAGTGGATATAAGAAGTTTACACACCCCTGTTAAAATGTCAGGTGTCTGTGATGTAAAAAATGAGACAAAGATAAATAATTTCAGAACTTTTTCCACCTTTAATGAGACCTATGAACTGTACAACCCAGTTGAATAACAAACTGAAATCTTTTAGGTGGAGAGAAGTAAAAAAACCAGAAATAATATGGTTGCATCTGTGTGCACACCCTTAAACTAATACTTTGCTGAAGCACCTTTTGATTTTATTATAGCACTCAGCCTTTTTGGGTACGAGTCTATCAGAATGGCACATCTTGACTTGGCAATATTTGCCGCATCTTCTTTGCAAAAATGTTCCAAATCTGTAAGATTGCAAGGGCGTCCCTTGCGCACAGACCTCTTCAGATCACCTCAAAGATATTCAATTAGATTCAGGTCTGGGCTTTGGCTGGGCCATTCCAAAATATTCATCTTCTTCTGGTGAAGCCATTCCTTTGTTGATTTGGCTATATGCTTTGGGTCGTTGTCATGCTGAAAGATGAAGTTCCTGCTTATGTTCAGCTTTCTAGCAGAAGCCTGAAGGTTTTGTGCCATTATTGACTGGTATTTGGAACTGTTCATACTTTCCTCTATCTTGACTAAGGTCCCTGTCCCAGCTGAAGAAAAACGCCCCAAAGCATGATGCTGCCACCACGTTTCGCTGTGGGTATGGTGTTCTTTTGGTCATGTGTAGTTTTTGTGCCAAACATATATTTTGGAATTAGGGCTGAAAAGTTCAACCTTGTTTTCATAAGACCATAACACTTTTTCCCACATGCTTTTTTCTTTCTTTTTTTTTTTTTAACACTTTTTCCCACATGCTTTTTTTTTGGGGGGGGGGAGACTTCAGATGTGTTTTTGCAAAATTTAGCCGGGCTTGGATGTTTTTCTTCACAAGAAAAGGCTTCCATCTTTCCACTCTACCCCATAGCTCAGACATATGAAGAATACGGGAGAGTATTGTCACATGTACCACACAGCCAGTACTTTCCAGATATTCCTGCAGATCCTTTAATATTGCTATAGCCTCCTTGACCAATTTTCTTCTAGTCTTTTCATCAATTTTGCACGGACATCCAGTTCTTTCCATCAGTTGTACCCTTCATATTAGAAAATGTTTATAATTAATACAGTTGCTGTTATTTCAAATTTAAATATTGTAACTGTAAATAAATAGCCAATTATGGGAATTAAAATCAATGAATAATAAGTTGAACAGACAGTGCATATATATTTACATTCAGAACTCAAAAGATACAATGAGCTCAAATAAATACATCACAGAAGACCCAGAAGCACTCACTGCACACAGAACTGACTGAGGTGCCAACTTATATATATATATACTGGTACAACAGCACTCAAATGTTTGTGAATTGAAAGAGACTGAGAGTTGAGCCTATGAGAGGCACACCGCTGAGCATGCATATTATAGTGGCACATTCACAACACATTGTTTAGGGAGGGACTCCCCACCATTTGCCAAAATAACAATGCAAAAGAACGAGGCTTTTCTTATTTTCTCTAAATAATGAAGAAAACTCAATTCAGCTACTCATCATGACATTCAATTAATTTCACAACTTTTGACTTCTATCTTGTCTTGCACTGTTGACATATGTGCCTTTCCTCACCATTATTCAGTTTTATATGTGTGTCTCTACATGTCCTGATTCATACCTCTGGGCTGTTTCCCTACGTAGGGAACAACTAGTCTAGAGCATGCTACTTCAGCATTCCATGCTTTGCTATCCTTTTTGTACCTTGGGGAAGAGGATCTCCAACAGGAATAATCAAACTGGTATACTCCTTCCCAACTGTTTTGAACTACAGCTCTCATGAAACCCACCCAACACATCCAGTGATCAAGGATGGCAGGAATTGGAGTTCAAATAATCTGGTGTTTTCCAGGTTGACTTCATGGTGCAGCCAGGTTGTCAGGCTGGCCTTATTAGTAGGTTAAAAACCTTTTCCTGCCAATATTTTCCACAACTTCACCTATATAGAGGAGTGTTGTTCCTATTGTTATTTGTTGTTAATTGTTAAGGTAGGTTCCAGTAAAACATATGAAGCAAAAAAACTGAGGAAAATTAGAGTACAACTGATATTTCCCATTTACTGCTCTTAACATCACAAATTCTTAAGACTAGTTTGTACATAGAAGAGTTTTTTTTTTAAAAAAAAAAACTTTTCCATTACTTTGCCTAGATTTTGACTTAGATTTCATGGCAGATTATCCATGGCTCAATCATAACTTGTAGCTGAGTTGTTATCCAGGCTTTGAAGAACCATTTCTTATTTTGAAACATTTCACTATGTAGACTCTCATCTTATCAATGAAACCTGATTTACTCTGATGTTTCTCTGATGACCCACTACTCTGGACAGAAGTTTAACTCTTTTTGCGGTTTACTGCTATTGCTGGCCATTTTAAAACTGAGCTCTCAAAAAGGATTCATTCTGCCTTCATTAGCTCTTAGCAGATGTCGCTTTTTAAAACAGGGCTGGATAACTTTGGTTCTCTGTATGTTGTTGGACTGTGTCTCCATTCTTCCCCAATCTGATCTAGCCCATGGTGAGAAATACTGGAAACTGCAGCTCAGCAACATCTGAGAGCCATAGATGTTAATCCCTGACTTGAAACAAGACATTTACAATGTCATTTTATACATAATATCTACACATTATACATAATATCTACACATAATATCTACATCACTAGTTATGTTCCATGTGATATATTCTCATGTAAGTGTGGACAGTGTGTCAGCCTTAATTTCCTTTTCCTTGGTACATCTCTTTACTTAAGGATTTATTTTCTTTTGTTCTGTTTCCTAGTGTACATACTTGTCTTGTATCTGTGTAGTTTCCTTTTTAGTGTTAAATTATCAGTGAATTGGGATAAGGGCTAGTGCATGTATTCTCCCCTCCCCCAGCAATTTAGAATACTGTATTTCTCATCCCTATTATGAAATGTAAGGGGCCATATTCAACTGAGCATATGTGGGTTAGAACAAATGTTTTCTTGCAGTTAGCATTTCATAACTAGAAATCCCGTGAGACACTGAAATCTCTTCCTGAAACTTAGAGATGCAGTGCATCAGATATAGATAGATTCTGCCAAGCTATTTTTCAGTATTCTTGCTTTCTAAGCACTTGCAAATTATGACAGAGGAGTTCCTCTTTCATAATAATTTCCAGGTAGTTAATCTTTACAGTATCCTTTTGGGATGGGATAACAATATGAATTAAGAAATGAATGATATCCAGTGGGTACTCAGTTGACTGGTCTAGTTTTTGCCATTTTCTGTATAATACCCTGTTTTCCCAAAAATAAGACCTAACCTGAAAATAAGCTCTAGCGTGATTTTTCAGGATGCTTGTAATATAAGCCCTACCCCAAAAATATGCCCCAGTTAAGTGAAAGCCCGCCCGCCCCCATGGTGCAGCAACCAGAAGAAGATTACGTGTATTTGAATGAATGTAGATTGGGGAGACAGGGTAGCTGTTTTGTCTCTTTCCTTGCCATTTTCATATGAATGTGTCTTTTAATCTTCTTTGTGATTTGAGATATGATACACTAAGATGGATTTGTTTGTTTTTTTGTTAGTCTCTTTGGACACAAAGATTGAAGTTTGATGTGAAAGTATTCTTATAATAAAGAATGTAGCATGTGGGGTTCCTTCGAACAGTCCACACTTCTGAGCTGCTGAGGAAAGGCAAAACAACAATGGAAGGCATCGTTCAGTGAAACAGATGCAGTCTAGAGGTTACGATCATATATTAATATCTTTAGGGTTTTAGTCACTGTTGATTCAACAGGTTGCTTGAGCTTGGCATTTCCTAATTGGCTATAATTCATGTGAATTTCTATGTACTTGTGGTTAATTGGTAAGAAAATTTAACTGTTTGGGTTTTTTTCTCTCTTGTGAAGGTGGCAGCCATTAATCCAAACCACCCCCTGGCTCAGATGCCTTTACCCCCTTCAATGAAGAATTGCATTCAGCTGGCGGCATGTGAAGCTAACGAGTTGTTGCCAATGATCCCTGACCTGCCAGCTGACCTGTTCACATCCTGCCTTACTACACCAATCAAGATTGCTCTGAGATGGTAAGTGTCTTGCCTATTATCTGGATGTATATTGTGTATGAGTCTTGCCTGTTGGACTGACTTGTTGACCCATATACTTTAGCTGCTCTGTAATTTCTCTGCAGTACTAAATTACAAGGATTTGAGGTGTTCATCTGGGAAAATATCTTATTAAGCATACTTTCACCTTCCTGGCTTTGATTATCCTTCTGTTTATTACATCTTGTATTATAGCTGGATATTTGAGTTTGCTTAGATTAAGGGACTTATTGTGCTGGAAATTAAAATAGTCTGCCTTTTCACAAATCAGAGCCACCATATGGCACAACACTATGTTGTATCAGTAGACTGTTCTTCAGACAAGCTATAGTTCTGATCCTTAAATTCCTCTGCCTGTGTATTTCCCATTTATTGGAGTGGGTTCCCCCCCTTCACCAGTACTGTACTTTGAGGATTGGTCAGTAATTGCCATATGTTGCAGTTATGCTTCAAATAAGAAAAGTTAAGTAATAGTGTTGTCAACAAATTTAAAAGGCATAACCCAAGGTTATTTTTACATGATTTGGCCCTCTGTTAAGGTGAAGAGAAATGAAAGCTTATTCTAGTCTACCAAAATAAATTAAACACATTTCTGATAGCTATGATGCACAAATATGTTCAAAGCTTTAGTCAATGTAGCCGATGTTCAATGCTTTATTTTATTCCCTCATTTTTTATATCACCAAGCTAAATTTTTAAAAAACTGTCAGCTTTTATGTTTTAATATTTTGTTTATAGCAGCTTGTGGTTTATTGCAGTTGAGCTACAGTGTAAATACACTACATACCTCTTGGCTTTCTGTTTCTCGGCAACTGTGCACTTTACATGGAAAATCAAGCATGGCCAATGGACAAACATCTTTAAACAGATATGCACACATCTAATTAATCCTGTCTAATTCAGGATTCTCTGATATACATATGAATATTTAAAAGTGTAGGTGTGTGGTATCCTCACTTCATGTATCTTTCTTTGAGAAAAAGTGATGAAGGGTGTTCCATACAGCAGGTTGGTAAAACTACACCAATTCAGAGGGCTGTCTAAAGGAAAAATCATCTTTTGGAGCAATCTGAATAAACAAAAGTACTTGGTTGGAAGGAAGCGGAAGTTATTCAATTAATTTAAAAGATCATGGCTGAAATCGTATTGCACAATTTTCATCAATGATGATGTCATCACTCAGCAATGCTACTTTCTTTTAATTTATTTTAAAATTTCCTATTCCTCCACTACCATTTTCAGGTTCCAAGGCTTCCTATGGATCCCTTTTGTCCTTGGGAGTGTCCTCTGAGAGTGGCAATATGGGGAAAGTCTTCATTTTGGAAAATTGCTGCCCAGTTGCCCAATCTGTACTTGCTATCTCAGTCCAACAGAGGGACCACCAGCAGCAGTTTTCTGACAGGAGAGGCACCCTCTATATACGCACACACTCTATGCCTCCCAGAGGCTTTCCCAGGGCAAAAACAAGCTTTAAATTAAATTAAACGAAAAAGTAATATCACCTGCTAATGATGCCATTCTTGTTGCATGACATAAAATTACAACAACTTGATTTCAGCCAAAGGATGTAAAATGTGATATTTTCATTTTCAGTTCTATATTATTTTATCATTTTACCATGCATTAAGGCTCCTCTAAAAGTTTTTTTAGCCTGTTTTTTAAAGAGCCATTTATAATGCAAATTGGCTACATATCCTATGGTATTCAATATCTATAACAGAGTATCTTTTCCCTTTTGCATATCTTTTTTCTTTTTTTACTTGTTACTTAATATTAAGGATATGCATCTGGATTCAGAAATGTTTGGAATTCACCAAATAATGCCATCTTCAGATATATCCAAATCCAAATTTGATAGTTCTGAATACTGTAATAATAATAATTAATATTTGGAGTCCTAGCGGTTTGAAAGCATGCAAATGCAAGTAGATAAATAGGGACCACTTCGGTGGGAAGGTAACAGCGTTCCGTGTCTAAGTCGCACTGGCCATGTGACCACGGAAGATTGTCTCCGCACAAACGCTGGCTCTATGGCTTGGAAACGGGGATGAGCACCGCCCCCTAGAGTCGAACACGACTGGACAAAAATTGTCAAGGGGAACCTTTACCTTTACCTTTACCTTTTATTTAGTCCCAAAATTTAGTTTGATAGTTCTGAATACTGTAATAATAATTCTTAATATTTGGAGTCATATTTAGTCCCAAAATTTAGAAAGCAAAAAGTTAGGTTTTTGCTCCCAGGGGAGAAAGTGGAAGTGAAACCTATCTCCCAGGCAGCTGAAGGAAACTCCATTCTTTACCTGCTTGAAAGAAGGCTAGAGCAGCAAAGGGCACTCTGTGATTTGGTACTGGAAGCTTCCATTGGTGTTGCTGGTCTTCTGGGCAGAGAATAGTGGAGGTTTATGGCTCCCAAAGCTTTGAGAGTGTAACACAGGTCCTTAGTAGGGAGACAGCCATCCTTAGTCACGTGATTCCAATGTTTAAGGGCTTGGTTGGCATGATGGAGGACATAATGAAAGGATGGTCTAGGTGCATAGAGGGTGCCATATAGGGGAACATCATTTTTCTAGCTCAGAGTAGTGGCCCTGACCAGAAAGCTCCACTACATGTTTGCCTCCATGTGGAAGGAGGAGGAATGTGTTTAATGTGAAGGCCCGACCCTCTTGGATCTTCACATTAAACAGTGGGCAATGGATATTAAGTGGCAGCAGGGAGGCACAATGCCAGATAGCTTTCCATCACATGCAGCAGCTCGTGAAGAAGGTCTGTCTAGCACTGAGGGAGGGGGCCACACAGAGCAGGAAGGAACTAGCAATGTTCATAGCACTCCTGCAGTTGTGTTCCAGAGTCCATATCCCTCTCCCCTGTAACGGGACAAGCTTTCTGGACTCTGTCTTGACAAGCATAGCAAGTGCCTGTCCTCCAGAGATACCACCCAGAAGAAGGACATGGCAAAGGCAGAGATAGAGACATACATGCAGGTGGCCTACAACCCAAAAGAGACTGATTCCTTGTCTTACTGGGATGAGAAGTAATCTGTTTGGGGAGTTCTGGCCAAGATGGCAGTGGGACTACTGTCTTGCCCACCGACCAGTGAGAGAGTGTTCTTTCAGGCAGGAGGTGTTGTCAGTCCACACGACTCGTGCCTGCAATCCGGATCATAAGGAAAACATATTTTGCTTAAGGTCATTGCTGGCTTTCCTGAAGCCCCCATGAAGTAAGAGAGGATGGCACACTCTGCTCACACCACTATGCCATGCTTCAGTTTGCTGCTCCCTCCTTCTGCCTCTTTCATTCTTCCAACTGATACTCCAAATCTGTACTTACTCAACTGTCCTGTACCCCATGCTGTTGGCACCATTCTCACCCACTGCAGGCTCTGCTGTTCCAGTCTACCTGCCAGTGCTGCCCAGTATGCTTGCCCACTCCCCATAGTCACATGTCCTCTGCTTCCCCAATGCTGCTGGGATTTCCTCCTGGCATTCCCACTGTTTGGGGGGTTCATTCAGTTTACCTGTATGGTTATTTCCAATACCTAGGCACTGCTGCCTGCTGGAGTGCTCTCTTTTTGTTTGCTACAATGACTGGGAAGGTATCAGAGGACACAGAGGAATCCTTTAAGAATGTTTTGCCTGTTTGTATTCCTTGAAAGGGGGAAATAATGACAATAAAATATTCATATTGTGTGTATTGGATTTCCAGATATGCTGACATTCTAAATTTTTTAAATCCTGAATTCCAAATCTAGAATTCTAAATCTGAATTTTGGTGCTGGTACACATCCCTAGTTAATATCCCTAGATTGAAGTGTGATTTGATTAACTTGTCCCAGGTTCAGATCCCAACTTTCCTTATGCATTGTTTCTTGGGTGCAGTCGCCCATAAGTGAAATGGATGAACTATGGTGGATTCTGAGCATTGTAAAGTGTTGCTTTGAAACACTGTTAAAAAAATTGAACACAATTTGCATATTCAAACTGTATTATTTGTTGATACAGTGACATTATCTTAAGAGTATCGTATAATCGTATATATGTTTTTTATTTTATTATATCTTAAGAGTATCGTATAATCGTATATAATATATGTTTTTTATTTTATTGTTTTTCATTTGTAAACCACCCAGAGTAGACCTTTGGTCTAGATGGGCGGGATAGAAATCAAATAAATAAATAAGGTTATTTATTTTCTTAGCTTTTTCAGCAGAACGTAGAATGGTTTGATAGGCAACTAGCATGGTGCCATTTTTAAGAGGATATCAACACTTCTTTGAGATTTCTCCTCTCAGTCATTTTTATAATTCAAAACTGTTTATATGTTTCTATCCCAGAGGCAGAAGAAAAAATAGGCCTGTGGTTATAAAGAAGTCATATGTACTATAAAGAGAAAAATGCAATTCCAGAGAGGCCTTTTAAGTTATATCATTGATGTACAAGGCAATTTCTCTTTTTGTCAGGAAGGGAAGGTGGGGGCTGGTTATACTGCTACCAAAGTCAGGTAAGGTAGATAAATATATCTGCATTTTCTTCTGTCCAAAATCATGCCGTTATGTGCAAGTACAAATATAGTTGAGCACAATTTACTTTATTAACATTAGGCTTCATCATTTAGAGCTTTCAGGCTAAAAGCAGGTGTGAATCAGAATGCAGAGCATATATTTAGGAAACACTACCCTGTTGTTTTTCAAAATGAGTATCTCTGAGGCAGTAGTTGCATGTATTTGTTATAAACTTCAATGGAAAATGACATGTAGCACTAAGAAGAAGATTAACATTAACTGGAAAGATATATGAATTAATTAGGAATGACCCCATTTTCCTGATTTTGCTATAGAGATGTTTTGATTGGAACGTGGCTCTTATTTCCATTCATATTTGCCTGCTGGTTCCAGGAAATTGGTTGTTAAAAAGGTGAGATTTGTGGAATGTGGAAAAAGTGTGTTAGCTTGTGGAAAAGTAACGGTTCTATGGGGTAGACAAGGA